CCCCATCCCACCCCATAAAAATGTACTTTAATACTTTTTACATACTATTTAACTGAATACTCTTGTTGCTGCTCTGCCGGACCTTTCCTTGTGACCTTTTAGACATTCCTTAATTATTTGTTTCAACCCCCCTCCCCCCCTTTATGTCAGCAAATACTATTAAAGCCCACCCTTCTTTRTGTGATTTTTTTTCAAAGCCCCCCTACTTTTTTCTCCAACCCCCCCAAGGCATAATTAATGAACAGTCCCTAACAACGGCAGCAACAACAACAGCAAGAACAACAATAAAAGCAACAACAATAACAACAGCAACAGCAACAGCAACAACAGCAGCAACAACAATAACATTAGTAGCAATAACAGCAGCAATATCAACAGTAACAACACCAGCAACAACAACGACCAAAGCCACAACAACAACAACAAACAAGCAGTAAATTCCTCACGGTGCTACTAAATAACACGAACTTGAAAAGCAACACAGATAAAAGATACAGAAAAAGCTGCTTTCAATTTACCTCATAGTTGCTAGGGTTCAGACTTTGTGGGCTTGGTAATATGGCGCCTTCCTCTCGCGGTAAAGTCATGGATGATGATCCGATGATCTGAACACTGATATGGAAAAAATGTTACGAAAATTCAAAAATGCAACCGATGCAGTTTCATAATTTCATTCCCTTTAAACAATAACATTGGGTTGAAATAATTAGAGCCTGGGTTGGGATACTTTTTACCTGAATATGGAAAGTTAAGGTATTTGAACCTAAAGCACTTACGTTTTTTAAAGTAATTTTCCTTACCCTTCCTTGAAAAGAGCCTTTTTCCTAGTGTCTGTTGTCATCTCGGACAGCATTGGTTGACTTTCTTTAAAAGATATGTCACAGTTACTATGAATTCTGTTTCATTGTCAGTAATGTAATATGGAGTTTTTGTTTAATATCATTTTATTCTTTTAGCAGAAGAAAATATAAATTCTCATTGGATTTAGGGAAGAAMCATTTCATGAAAACACTACAAAATTTAGATTGAATTAAAAAAAAGGAAAAAAAGAAGAAAACGAATGGCAGAGAAAGATGGACGGATGGGCGGACGAACGAACGAATGGATGGATGGATGGATGGATGGA